CGAAAATTAGCTGTACTCGAGACCCAGGGTATCTATTTTAAGCAATCCTCTGGGCATAGACGATAGATCATCGCTACTGCTGGGAAACTTGCCGTACTAAAACGTCACTTAGCTTCGGTGTGCTTTAGGCAAAAGAATTTACTCCACTATGACTAAGATAACATCACACCTAATAGCTAGACGTGCATTCATTTCATTGTTTATTTAGTTTGTCCAATAAAGCAGCATGATACCATGGCAATTTTGTGAAGTCGTCGGTCAGGATGGCCCTTGGAGGTCTTTACTGCTACATGGGGCTGAATTCGCTGACTATTTATTTTTCTCACGTGTATTTGCTCTGCGGGTTTCATACACATCCATCTTCTTCGGGCAACTGGAGGCAGACTCAGGCGTCAATCGTCGACAGACAGCCTCCTCTCGGCACCCAAAAAACCCACTTGGCTTTCCCTCGGCTTCGACCTTCCACTTCAACCCACCCCAGCTGGCTCGTAGAGGAAAACTTGGGGCAAACCGTCAATTTCTCACCTAGGTCACGGAATCCCCAGGCTAATCTGAGCCCAGCTTCCTCCAGATTACGTCACATTCCTGCGTACAGCCCAACAGTCGCCACACTGAGCCTTTCCAATTCCCTTGTGACAATCCGTCTGCTTAACACTCCCGAAGTCTTCACCATTGGCCCACGAGTACATGTCTGCGCGCCCGCAAGGGTGGGCGACTCCGGCAGTCACGATATCATCAACTAGTCTTCAGTCATGCCATTCAGTTTGGACAGGTGGTTTGAGGATGAAAGAGGGGGACTGGACAGATAAGTGAAGACTTGTGCACGCAAGAGGCGATTAGGAGTACAGAAACAAGATGCGTGTGCTACTGGCGACTAGTGGCCATCTGCTTAGCGGTGGCTTTGGGGAGTTGGAAAGCCGGATCTCCCTTGAGATGCAAGCACCCAACTGATAATGCTCAGTTCTTGCGGCCATGAAGATAGCAACAACTCTTATTAGCACAACATTCTCCGTCTGATTTTCGCCTCGCTGGCACGAACTGGCAGGAGGGCAACTTAACGGTCTGGTCAAACGAGTAAACTGGTTGGTGTCGTGTACATATGCACCTGCCAATTTCATCCTCCTCCACGCAACCCGGCACTAAAGTTCAACTATGGCCCTTGATCCGGCCGAGAATCTAAGAGGTTCTCAATCGTGAGAGCTCTTGGAAGTGAGTTTTGGCATTGTCTTTAAGAAGGTATGAAGACCAAGATGGTGTGGCCTTTTGTGTAGTCGCAGTCTCCTTTCGTTGTCATATTGGTAGGAAGACTTAGAGAAACCCACCTAGTCCGGAGTCCATTGTATGCATCATCATTTCCAGAGTAGGACCGTGGACGTGGTACGTTCCCAGACGTTTCGTCTCTAAGAAATGCTGTCTGTGACTCTCTCCTTCCCCTCATTCCTGCCGTTACCTCTCACTGAGGCTCCATGACAGGCCGGTAGGCCAAGATCCCGTGGCCTGACAGTTCTAGAAGGTCGCACTACACCTTCTGTCGCGCCTGGAGCCTCCAGCTAATCGCTTCTTGAGGCCGATTCCAGACTCAAGCTCAAGTTGGCCAGCCCAATTACCTTAACACGCCGAGACAACTGCCTCTCAATGTCATTTCTTTTCCCACAATCACTTACTTAACTAATCATACGTGTTCAGCCTCACTTTTCCCACCTTAATTCCCTCACAAGTAGGATAGATCGGCTTGCATTCGCTGTCCCGCTCTCACCACATGGTTGGTTTCTACGGCTTCCGTGACAGTAGATCAGGTAAGAGAGTGTGGCTAATCAGGCGTGGTTATCTGCGGGGAACTGTTGGCATGGCTGCCCATCTCGAGGTTTGTGGCCCTGCATCACCTGCTAAATTGCTGCCATAAGTTAGGCCGATTTAATTAAACAAACGCATCTGCTTGTGTGTGTTTGTGTGTTCATTTAAGTCTCACAGCTGTCCGGATTCCCAATTTGGCTCAAGTACCTGCAGAAGTGAAATGGGAGATCTGTCCGCCAACCGCGTGGGTGTGCATTTATAGTCGCAAGGGGAGTGAGATTGAAAGAAGCTTCCCTGTGACAGCTAGCTCGAGACTCTGGACCTGCCCATAAACAAGTGCTGAGCTTGTGATTTTGAATTTTGGGTTCACTCTGCCTACACTTAGTCTAAAATATTTCTTTTGACGAAACAGTTGAGCCTATTGGGGAAAGATGAAAAGAAATCGGGTTCTGAAAATCGCCAACTTAGACTATAAGCATTATGTATAAGGGTAGTCGGCCACTTTTTTTGAGGAAAGTTTTTTAAAGAATAACTTCATTCTCTAACAGGACAAATGACAAATATAAGCTCAG